TTGCATATTTTGTTCACTTTTTTCTTAAGCAGAGCGGCAGCAATAACACACATCCACGACAAGTGAACGCACCACCGCTCAGAGGCACTTCGGTACGTACAACAGTAAGTGAACGCACCACCGCTCAGAGGCACTTCGGTACGTACAACAGTAAGTGAACGCATCACTGACTGTCCTCAGCTCAGGCAGTGTGTTGCTGGTTCTGTCACCTTCATTCCAATACAAAACAAGTACAATTTTGAGCTTATTATTTAATATTGTACATTTTACTCCACGATATTTATATGATAACTCATGCATTATTAATTTATACTGAATGGAACCATTCCATTTACTTTAGTATATGTTTTTGTTTTATTTGTTATTTTATTTTATTGGTTTATTTGGTAGGGACAGTGCACATTCATAAAACATTCCTGTAAATGCAGCCAAGAGGCTATTTTTCATCTGTAGTCCCTGGACAGATGTTACAAAGTCACCCTAAAAACAGAATATAGGTTAAGTTAACAGAAAGTTAACAGAAACAAAGCATGCAGAAATAATAAAAGAAGAGAGAATATTAATATACGTAGAAACATCATTCAGGAGACTCTTATACTGCAATGTCAAGTACTATTAAGACACAGAGGCTCATAGAACAACACATACAAAGCTAATCAATGAGGGATAATTATGTTAAATAGAAACATGGACTAGAGACAAGATGATGTTGCGTTGTTAGACAATAAAAACATAAATGTCAGAGGCACAAAACATATAGTTTGATGCCCATACTTTTTTTTAGCCTTTAGTTAAATTGTAATGCAGTAACAGAGTATTTCCACGCTTTGGTACTGCTACTTTTACTTAAGTTAAAGACATGAGTACTTCTTCCACCACTGCTGTGATCAGTGAGGAGCTCAGTGATGATGGAGATTCAGTGTAGTCGGTTCCTTTGGAAACTCGTACATAAAGATGTGTCCGCACTGAACACCTCTACTCTCTCACGAACACATTTATAGATGTAATATTAATTTTAGCTCCCCCCCTATGAGACGGAGTCCAGAGAAGACGAAGCGGCGACGGACCCACAAATATTATTATCACTGGAACAAATGTCATCACCGTGAGGAGATAACTTCTTAATCAGAGCAATCAGTTCTGTTTGCTGCAAAAAGATGTATGCGGGTGAGAGAAACATTTCCATTCAGATGAAATTATTGTCCGTTTAAAAAGCCTTATTTTTGCATAAAATGTGTTGGTGGGTTTTTAAACTGATGAGTTTGGACCATTAGAAGGAAAATGTGCGTCTCAGCGTTTATCAGTTTTATTTTGTATTTCCTGGAGCATCCTGGAGGCCGCCTTAGTAATACAATTTTCAGTCGGGTTTGCTTGCAGAGGAATTGGCAGGTTTGAATAGAATTTCCATTCAGAGTGAGTTGTTGGCCACTTATTAGCTTTATCTTGCATACTATTCCCCTTTACTCAGTTTGAGGCATGATTGGTTTGAGAACTCAGACAGTTGCTAGTTGGCTCAGGCATTGCCTTGTCAGTTCTCTATTTCATTTCCAGTTACATAGCACCCGTCTTTGATAATAGTGCTTTTAAAATGTATTATTGCACTATATAAACACAGGAGGCTGCATTGTCATCCACAATTTCCAGTAAATTCCACCCAAGACAGCCTCTCGGGCAGTATTTTCTTTCCATCCCTGTTTGTTTTTCTTTGATTGCATACATGTACAAATGGAGCAATATTTGGTTCCTGTGGCCACGCAGTTGACTCGGCCCCAGCCTGCCTCCCCCTCCTCCCCTCCCTCCCTCAAGCCAAGCCCTATTGAAGTTTATACACAATGCACAACATTGTTCAAAAAGACGAGGCGCTCTGAAATAGTCTGGGAGCCTTTGAACATCGTGAAAGGAGTCATTCCGAGGTTGGACGCCTAAACATAAACTCTCAGAGAGAAGTGACTCATGCTGAAGAGACCAAATAGACGACAGGTTTCTATTCGCTGGGTAATGAAAATATCATCTGCAGCAATGAAATGAACAGCTGCTCCATTTCAGGCAGCGCCAGCGAAATTCTTTTCATGTCTCTTTAACTCTCATCGTAGCTTCTTCAGCTCAGCTTCTGGCCTTGTTAGCCTCCAGAAGCATGCATCAGGGAGACGGGCAGACTATTTCTGGTGTGTGGGGGGGGAGGGCAGTACGAAGAGACATCAGTGTCTCTCAGCAGGTATAATTATCCCACCGTGGTGGAGTCACAGCGTGAGCTGATTGTCTTCAGTCAGAGGAGACAAACTAAGTGGAAAACGGCTCTTCAGGAAAAGACCTAGACCCTCCAGCTCATCACCAACACTTAGGCTCTATTGTTTACTGAAGGAGCCCGACACACACACACACAATGCTTGACCCAACCCCTAGTGGCAGGTTAAACGCCTAGATTGTTCTGCCCTGCCTCACCTCATCAGAGTTGAAACTATTTAGAGAGACAATTGCCTTTAGAAGCTGATTGTCCTGCCTGTCAGATGAGCTACTTTATTTGACTTGTTTACTCCAGTTGATTTTAGGGATGTCACATGGTTCCTGATTGACTCCGTTGTGTCTGCAGCCAAAGATACCGTAATATGAGTGGTCTTAGGGCTGAGGTAATGGGGGGTGGGGGGGGACATAGACTTTATATAAGAAGTGGATGTTGTCGTTGTGACGTCACCCATTGGTTTGTGGACGCTTTGAAGCCTCGAGTTCAGTGATTTCGCCGTCGCCGTTTTGTTGTTTTGCAACCGACGAACGGTAGTGACCATAATTTACTGAATGCACATCATGCTGCATTGAAGAAGAAGACTTGAAACTAGAGATTGAGACCATAAACTCATGTTTATAATGTTTACTGAGGTAATAAATCAAGAGAGAAGTAGAGTCATTTTCTCATAGACTTCTATACAACCAGAGGAGTCGCCCCCTGATGGTCACTAGAGAGAATGCAAGTTTTAAGACACTTCCGCATCGACTTCAATCGGAGGTTACCGCCTGGAAACAGATGATGCATTGAATCTGATAAAAGTTTATCCGGTATTTATAATACTCAGACAGGATTGTAATATGTTACATCGGCAACTAATCTGTCGTCACTGCATTCACGAGGTAAACAGCAGAAATACGTTTTTTTCATGCAGGGCTCAAGTCGGACCAAACCGGTTTTCTCAACATGAGTAACAGACGGTCATAACAATGCACTGACTGAAAAATCTGTGTCATCCCAGCGTGTCTCTGAGCTGTTGATGCGAAATGAATAAAACTTGCTGAATGGTGTGGAGTGAGCAACAAGAAGGGATAATCCGCTATATTAGTCATGGTCATGTTTTTACAATTAAAAAGTTATTATTTACCCAGAATACACAGCGAGGAACAGTCAAAGTCCATCTTAATGGGAACCACGCCGTGGAGCAAATACAACATATTAAACTGGAGTTAGACGCTTCTTAGTTCTGTTAGTCTAATGCTTTTTAGTTAAATTAGCCTTCATACTCCGGGGCTATCTCTAAGCTAATGTGCTGCATTTATCGATGACTAAAAGACGGAGGAAACGAAAGACACTAAGAAACAGAGTTGTGACAGGACTTTAAACTCCACTCATCAAAGAGTCCTTGTTTATTTTTTTAGGTTTGCTGCTTGAAACCGTAGCCTTGTTTTTTACTTTAAAGAATACGTCCCGTGATATTTTCTATTTTTTCTTCTCGTCAGTGAATCCACTGAAAGGACCAAAACTAAGGAAAGGATTCCACTAACTAGTGTTGTTTGTATATCCTGATGAGCCTGAATTCATCCCTCTGTGCTATAGAGCTCCATTGCAGTCCAGAAACGGTAAAAATCACATAAGTGAGCCACGATGTTACGTGACATGTTCATTCATTACAACGACGAACACGAACACACACACACACACACACACACACACACACCACACTGTAGTTTATTTTAAAATGGATCTCACACGGTCCTGATGATGTAAATACTCTATGACGCATCAAATCTGCAGCTGAAAATAGTCCCCACCGAAATTCAGATTTCCTCCTGTTTGAGTAACCTTCGCTAAATACTACAGAACTCATCCGTTATATATATTTGAGACACATTTTCAAAAATGTACGTCGGAAAGTATTGATGGACACAAACTAAGCCATCGCTGGTTTTGGCCTTTTCACGGGATTTGTTGATAACAAAAATATAGAACATCACCAGCTTTGATATTGTTTGTTCATATTGTTTTTGGGAACCTTCTATTGGATAGTTGATATAGAAGATGCAGAAGAGAGAGAGCGTATGACATGCAATGTCAAAGGTCAACTACTGCGCTGAAACCTTTCAGCTAGCGAGACGTTCCAAATTGATATAAGTCGTAGTTTTTTACACCAGAATTAAGGCCTTTACGCACCAGGGGCGTTTTTGTTTTCGATTAATTTGCATGTTAATATATTTTTACAGAACCGTTGTTTTTCGTCACACAGAACGTCAATTTTCGGAGGCAAAAAAAGCTACGTAACCGTTTCCCGGAAGGCGACCGTTTTTTTTCTGACGCCGCAAATAAAAGCGTGAAAGTTCGGAAACCAATCACGTTGTGCGGAACAGCCATATTCTAAACTAACACTATAGAGTACATCAACACGGAGGTTCTGTAGTAACCAATACGCAAACTTTGACACTTCATTCAACCTCGACAAAGGCAGCTCAGACCAGATCCACTCCTTCCCTTTTTTACCTTTCACAATAAAAGCCCTAGACGAAATACCCCTTTTTGCACTGAACTTCGACATCTATCCGAAACTTTTATACATACATACATAAATGCACCACTTTATGTTGCATTTTCATATATTGTTGTTTGTTTCTGTTTGAATTAGTCACTTCGACTCTTAATCGATAGGCTTGTCCCAGTTACAATGCGAGTGTCTTTGTGCATGAGTGTGAGGATCCATAAGAAAAAAAGTGCAATAATATTATTGAAATAAAAACAAGATGACTTTTTGAATTCACACATTTTAATTCACTTCAACGCTGGATGAACTAATATTTCATTGGAACTGCATTTGTGTCCGACCCTGATTCCTGTCACACAGAAAAGCACAATATCATCATACGGAGGGATTGGAGTCGACTTCGTCATCAAAAGGCAGAGTGTAGCAGCCGATCAGGACAGTCTAACAACGTGGACACTATCCATTCTCCGATATTATTTTTTTTATCAACATACTGTATACTTGTACACAACTGACACCAAGGAAAACAAAAACAAAAAACTGTTTTAATTCTTAAATACTCCTGTGATTGAATTTGCCTGGCACAATGAAATGAACTGATCTCACCGAGTTGTCCAAAGGAAAGATTTTTTTCTTTTTTTTTTTTCTGATACTCCAAAACTGGCTCAAACACTTAAAAGTCACTCCGCAAAAATAAAAGTATATTAATAACAATTCATCCCGTGTCGGGTATTTACAGACATCAAAAGTGAAGAACAGAGTCAAACCTGCCACATTTCTTTAATGGCTCAAAAAAAGTAGATTGTCATCAACTGCGGCGAAATAGCAGAGTTTTGCTTTCTTAATTTCGCTCATTTACTATTTTTGGGAAACAGAGCTATAAAAATGGCATAATACAACATAACAGGACTTTTTTTTTTTTTTAACCAAATAACACTCAGTAACTGCTTTTTTTATTTTCTTTCACTCTCCGCTCCTTTTCTTCCTCTTCTTTTTGGGCAGAGCGCTCTTAATGTCTCTTGTTTCCCAAACCACCGCCCAGTTCTGAGAACTGATATTTAAACCCCACGGAAATAAAAACTAAAATTAGCACGCGATGACAGCAATTCTAACCATAATAACAACAATAATAACAATAATGATAATAATAATCATGGATAAAGATAGCAATAAATAGGGTTGGTGAAGTTTAAGTGCGGGTAGGTGTGGTGAAACACAAGACTGTGGGCACCAATTAGAGAGAGGAAAAGGGGGGACAGGGTGAGATGGAGAGAGGAGAGGGGAGAGGGAGAGTGGAAGAGGGGTGGACTACCGCACATAAAGTGACTGATTGTTTGGTGGCTGAATCTCCGTTCCGTCCTTCCTTTTTTGATGTTTTTCTCACCACACACCTACGCCAGGAAGGGCTCGGCGTCGCGGGCGCACAGGCCCTTCGAGTGTCCCTCCACGCCACATCCTCTTGATGTCCTCCGGCCAAACTGTCTACTGTCAATTTTAAAAACCTCACGCTGTTTTAGTTTACCTCAAGAGGAGAGACGGAGGGAGGCGAGAGAACATCACATCCACAAAATGTCAGTGTCTTTGTGAACAGTAAGTGCTAGATTGGGCTGGTAGTGATTCTGGAGTGTGACGGTGAGGCGAGGGCAGCTTGTCGTGGTGGTCATTCTTTCTTTTTTCTCGCGCGATGAAACGAAACTCGTGGACGAACAGCGACTGCTGTCCGTCCCCGTTCTCAGGCAGGCAACAGCATTAACAACATTAGTGTGTGTCCTGAGGATTTATAGGATTATAGAAGTCTCTCTCTCCCCTCCCCCACCCCGGGATCCAGTCTATAAATGTCACTCAGCGGGGAAAAATTCAACCCCGGCATGAAGGGAGTACGTCTAACGTGACTGTGCTTAGACTTAAAGAGAGGAAGAGCAGGAACCATTTCTGGCCCGAAACCGGTGAAATCCCGCCTCCTTGGAGTGTCTCTTCCGGCGATTGGCTGATCGGGAGAAAGTCCGGTTGTCGACACGTGGAGATTTGGTCTTGTGTTTGTAAATTGGAGGCATGAGCAGCAATAGATTTCCTGTTAATGACAGTTTTTGCGAGTGAATTATTGAAATGTTTTTTTGGGGGAATCGTCCTTTTCGCTGAGATAATTTCACTCCAAACACATGAGGTGTTCACAGATGTCTGTCACTTTAGAGAGTCTGTCTGGTCGTTTCGGCGTATTTGATGGTTTCCTGACGTTCACCTCCCGTCAATTCACGACCAGTTAATTTGTTGTTTTCTCTCCCCCTCTCTTTCTCCCGTTCCTCTCCTCCCCGTGTGTCAGTCTCTACCTCTGGTAGTCGGCCTGCTCTCTGGGACTGGATGAGGAGCTTCCGGGCCCCAGAGGGCCACCGGGCCGGCCGTGCCCCTTGTCATTGTCTTCCTCCTGAGCCATGTTGCTCCCTGAGGACGAGTGGCTTGAGTTGGAGCCGCAGGAGGCCGGAGGCTGGTTCGCCCCCACCGCGCTCACGCCGTTCCCCTCCGCGGACTGGTAGATCTCCTCGGCTCCGTCCTCGCTGGACTCCGGGTCCTCCGAGCCCGAGAGCAGCTCCTCTTCTCTGTACTCGCTGACGTCCACGCCTCCGCTGGCGGCGGCTCCCTCTCCCAGCTCCTTGAGGCGGCCGTGGTGCTTGACGTGGTAGCGCTGGTTCTGGAAGAACTTGATGATGGTGTGCTTGGGCAGGTCGAGCTGCGCCGACAAGGTTTGGATGGCCTCCTGGTCTGGGTACAGGCCGACATCCTGGATGAAGCTCTGCAGGATGCCCAAGGCCTCCAGGGAAATCTAGAATACCCAGAAAGAGAACGTGAATTAAAACCAGTTGAAATGACATAATAATCCTTTCATGGGTCCTGATGACGAGAGCGAGTAGAACCACATATTGTACCTTAGTGCGTGATCGTGGCTTCTTGTTGCTCCCAGCGCCGCCGCTGCCGGTGCCAGGAGGACCGCCGCCGGCCCCCGTTCCCATGTTCTGTGACCCCTCCTCGTTCAATGGGGTGGACGATGATTGCTCCTCGCGCATCGGAGACAGCCGGTGCTCCTTCATCGGGGGCGGGGGTGGCCTGTGGTGTGCCTGACGAGAAAGACAAAAGAGCTGATTGATTAACGGGGCACAGTGACCCCTGATCAAGACTGCAGCAGGAATTCAACACGACGAAAACCATGATATTCAACTTATTTTCCCTAAATCCTGTATAATGCATTTGTGTCTGCAGCCGACAGTAACCTTGTATGATGCAACACATTCCACCAGTAACTTGCCCCCCCTACCTCCAGCACACAGTAGCCAGGGCTGCACACGGTGAGAACAAGTGTTTCACAGCTCACAGAACGTCGCGGTCTATTAACCAGCTCCACCGCTGGCATTCAAAACTGTCTAGTTATACCTTTGACCTAATGTGTGAAAGAGTAGAGCCAGTACAACGCCAACCACCTGTCCAGAAAGTCTCTCATTTACAAATTTGTGACACCCAATCATCACTATTTAACCAGCCCACTCGACACCTCACAGGGACAGAGAGTAGAGGGGACGTTTTGATTAGTGCTAAGACTGTCTGTAAAATCTGCTGTGGTTCTGACCCAAGAGACAAAAAATATATGAATATATTGTTCCAGATATTAAGTGCAGAAATACAAAAACGTTGTTTTAAGTTTTGCAACACAGTGAACAAATAATAATTGAAGTAGATCTGAACCCTTCAGTTCTTTCTAAACAAGTAAAACATGTCAACACTCTGGAAGCTAATGCAGGTTCATCTTTTATTTTTAACTGCAGGAAAATGTAGGCACATCGAATCAGTGATTTGCTCGATGTGTTTAGCTTTGGGACTGTAGTCACTTCATAACTCAGGGATGTATATTCGAGTATCATCTGCATAGTTATAAGAAACTACTTTGTGCTGCTGAACAGAAAAGGCTCACGAATAGATCCTTGAGGAACTCCACTAAGCATTTGTGTTTGTTTAGACGTGTAGTGTTAACGATAGAAACTGGATAATAATCATATAATGTTATAATCATCTATGGGCAAATAATACATTATAGAATACATTAAATTTAGATTTATAGATGTAGTCTTAGAGAAATAATGTTCATAAAACATTCAAATAGTCGTCCTTTACAGTAGCTATTTTTCATATTATCTTTAGGTGTATATTTTAAACCTAACGGGATAAAAAAGGTTTATTTTGTTGTTTACACTGGAAAAGGACGAACTTCAGACGAGTGTATCTGGGTTTTCATCAACAAGGGCTATGAAGGCTCAAAGGGAGATTCTAAATGGAGACATTGAGGGTAGGTGTAGAAATGTGTTAGTTACTCTGATGGGTGGAGCTCTCGCTGTCAGACGGGGGGGGGGGTCCTCCGGCTGTTACGACCAGTGTGAAGGCCTTGTTTTGACAGGATGAAGTGTTGGGAGGGAAAGTGGGGACCTTCGGTTGTTTGTCAGGAGGTAGAAGCTGTTGTGAGAGCGTTGCGGTCGTGTCCCGCCCACTCGCTTTAAGAGCAGGGAGGGGCCTCCCCACTGGAATGCCCAGCTATAAATCTGTGGCGCATTAAAATTAAAGGACCCACATAAAGATAATAGTCATTCGCTTTTCTCTCCCTCCTCTTCAATAATAACAGGGTATTACTTCAATAATAATACTGCAGGGCAGGCCAGACCATGAAATTGCTGCGATTTCATTCATTCAGGAAGGGAGGGGGGGAGGAATGACCAATTTACAGGAATTCTGTATGTTTTTCCCTTTTTTTGTCATTTCTTCTCTCTCCCTCCCCCCAAAAACTTCTGTTTCTTTCACACAAAGTGACGTTTTTTTCAGATATTGACAAAAGACTGTAAGAGTGCCCTCTATAATGAGGACCACACAGCCGCAAGCATCCCCCACACAAACTTACTGAGACACTTAATAACTAAATTCAGGGTAAATCATGGAGGGGATTGCGAAAAAAACCTACCGTCTCCCCACTTCCGCCCACAGACCTTCATCGTTTCTATGCTGATTTGGGCCGACAGCAGGGACTCTTGGATCAATCGCCACACACACACACACACGCATGCAACAATGGGGAGTCTGGTCTCCCTCATGCACTAATGATGATGTTAGCAAGCAGAGCCAAACACACCAGGCTGGTCGGCTCCTTCAGGGTTCGTCTCTTTTATCTCCATCTTCCTACAAATGGTCATCCTCTGTCTTCTGTGCTCACACTCTTCTTATACCTTTTTAGTTTCTACCTCCCTTTAGTGTCTTTTCCATCTCTTCTTCTGTGCTTTCTCCCCCCTCTGCCTCCCTCTCCTTCTCCCTTCAGGTCTAATACATCAGGACACTAATGAAGTGGACCTCTGCCAAGCCAACATGACTCCACATCCAAATCAGCCCTGAACTGGTGGATGCCAGGAGCTCCCACCTCCTCCTCCTCCGCCTCCTCTCAACTCCCTCTCACTGCTGTCCCTCCCATTGCAACTCCCAACTTTCTACACCTTCAGTCCCACCCCCTGTGTCTGTTTGCCCCGTGCTCTTCGACCTCTACCGTCTGTAACAAACAATATCTGTTGTGTGCTGATTTACAGACTTCAAAAAGTGAAGTGAGACTTATTATTTTCAATTCATATTAAAAACAATGGAGAAAATCAATAGTTCAGTGTATTTGGGCGCATTAATGTACAATAAACTAGTGCAACATATAATGGACCCTGGTGCATAAACAGCTAATTATTTGACTGGAAGCCCTTTTTGAGCTCTCAGTGTTGCAAGAGGACTTGAGGCTAATCATTGTCTCCTTACTGTGTAACTTTGTGGAGCACAGAATCCAGGTGAAAGTCATTAAACTGATCTGCTCCTTTCTGTAAATATGATTAAAAAAAAACTGAAAAACAGTGAGTCTTAGTCAGAAGTCATGGAGGGTAGACTTACACCCCCCGGGACAATTACTGGAAAATGTAACTAACCCAACCGCCTCCTCCAGACTAAATCATCTTAAAAAAAGGTTCTTAGTCACTGCCATCCAAAATGACCCATATGACCATCTTCTGATCCCCCATCAGCACCACAACCCCACAGGTTTGGGGATTAAAAGCGACCTGGTTGCAGGTTAGGAAAGATGCTGGTTTGGGTTTAACACTCGGTTGAGGTCAGGGAAAGGTTGCGGTCGTAGTGCAAGGACAACATTGACTGCTCATAACATAAGAACAAAGGTTTCCCGAAGTCGCACGCTTACATAACCCAAGAGCAAACCCAGAGCTCCTCCTTTTTTAAATAACGTGGAGCAGCTTCCTCCTTTGCGTTGACACATTTCAGAAATCACATGGTCACACGAGTCAACGTAAACAAACTGACAGATAACCAATGCTGTCATTTTCCCGATGAGGAAGTCTCCATCTTTAAAAGTACTTCATTGATGTTACGTTTCAAATGTCAGAGTATGGTACTTACCGTAAGTAAAAGACAAGAAACATAAAAATATACATTTTATGCAAGTTTATGGTTTTATGGACCGTTAGTAGTGGTAGTACTTTTTAAGTAAAGTAACTGATTACTTTTTTGACCAATGCTCGCACTGTGGTGTTTAAAATGACACTTCAGATTGAAATTATGCTCATTCGAGTCACATAAAATTACTTTTTTTTGCAGAAATAACCAGTAGGAACGTCAATAGAAGCTTGCAGTATGTTTGTCCCTGTTCACCTCCCTCCCTCCCTCCCTCCCTCCCTCCCTGGCTCTTTACTCCTCCCATCTCTGACCGTTACACTTTGGGAGAGACAACATGTCACTTCAGAGCAACACAATACAGCCCCGCTCTCCCAAAACCACAAGCACTGGAGCTCCACGGCCAGACCAGCTCCTCTCATGGCATGATTCAATATTCCTGAAAAACTTATTTTCCTTCTCTCCGTCTCACTCTCTCTCTCTCTCTCTCTCTCTCTCTCTCTCTCTCTCTCTCGCTCTCTCTCTCTCTCTCCTGGCAGCGCTGTGAGTGCACTGCAGTAAAATGAAAAAAGTTTTCTTTTTAAACGTAAATCAAGGCGAATTACGGCTCAGAACTATGAAAGAATTATAGAACATGAAATATTCATCTTCTCCTTAATGAGCTCTGGTTCTCCAGGGCCCCTAACTCTCTCTCTCTCTCTCTCTGTTGTGGTGGGGGGAGTGTGTGTGTGTGTGTGTGTGTGTGTGGGGGGGGGGGCAGTGTATGACCACCAGAGACACCATTAACAGAGAGATAAATATGTAATGAAGGAAAAAAAATCACTTTTCTGTTAGTTTTGTGCATGACTTCACCGTTCCTGTTAATCTGTGTTTCTCTTATTTTCTCTTTCTCCCTCGGTCTCCTTCTTTTATTCTTGTGTTTGAATAAGTGTGTCTGTCTCTCTCTCTTGTATTAGAACAAGTGTGTCTCTTTCTCTCACTCTTATATTAGAATAAGTGTTTTTGTAAACTAATGTTTCTTCGATGAGAAACTGCATACACAAAATGTTATTGAGGTGAGCTGGAGTGCAGCTAAGCAAGTGTGTGTGTGTGTCTGTGTGTGTGTGGTCATATATATTTGTGTGTATATGCATGCTATTTTTTTTATTCAAACTGTGTGTGGTATTCATTCCACTTATCTGCAATTAAACAATTAACTTAATTGTGGTTTGCCAAAAACGCTCAAACTCCACCCTGCAACAGTGAATGAGAGGCCACCGGGAGGAACTGAAGACAGGAGGGGGAGAGAGAGAGAGAGAGAGAAAGGGGAGAGAGAGGGGAGAGAGAGAGACAGGCGGCTACTTCCTCTCGAAGTGAATTAATGAATACTAACAAATATTTGTTTTATAAATGTAAAATAAATGTATTTTTATGGAAATAGCAGCGAATGATTGATTGTGACAGTGACAGAGAGGATGAACTCCATGTTTTATGACCTACAATCCATTTTCCTACTGATAATTAATGATTCTATTGAACCGTTTGATATTACGGTTGATCCACGTTGTCTCTTTGATTCCAGTGTAGAACCTGTCTGATCCAGTTCATGTTATTACGGCCCTGCTGTTTGTTTATGACAGTTAAAGAACATGAAGTTCTGTCGTGTTTTCGTTCTCTCTTTTAGTTAATCAGCGGGGCTTTGCTCTATTTTGGATCACATTGTTAATGACGTAAACATTCACAGTCTGGCAATATTCTAAATGTTTCTGATTATTAACAAATCCAAACTAAAAGAGCAAAACCAACAGAGTGCTGCTCTGACTCCGTGCTCTGGTTCCTGAAGGCACAAGAGTTTCAAGGTTCGCGAATTTCGTAAAAAAGAATCATTGTCCAAAGCGACACATGTGTTTTCCCCATACAGTACACATATTACATGTACGTTGGCCCACAATGTACCACCAAAATCATTAGAAATGGACAAACTGCACAGCAAACGGCTTTCAACCCATGTTAAAGCTAACAGCAGACATTCTGACTCGTCATAGTAGAAACACAGGTTTAAGCTGAAGCAGCTAAATGGAACGCAGCCATCATTAATTTTTCTATTTACACCTGAGCTTTTCCTGCTGTGACATATCAAAATGTCTTTGAGTTTTTGTTTTTTTAAAGATTTGTTTCCAAAGGACTCAGAGGGACTCATGAGTGGCCTTTTAAAGGGGCACTCTCCTGATTTTACACATCCAGAGGAGTTTACTCTTCATGGGAAACATTTCTCCGCTGTATAATATCGTAAAATAACTGAGAACGTGATACCTGATGACGTCATCAGGGTTTTCTTGGCTTGGGCTTTTTAACAGAAAGTCTATGAGTGGAGTCTTATGAAAAAAAGACACGAATGGGAAGTTTTGCATTTTTCTACTAGGGCTGGGCGGTATGGCCTAAAATGTATATTATGGTATAATTTTGCGGTCTTCATCACAGTTTACTTGTTTTTCCTAAGAAGTCAATAAAAATGCAACACTAAATGACTCACACGTGCTGATCACCAAAAAACAGAGGTGAGATTTTACTCGGTGTCGACGGGAGCAATTTGTTGCTGCTTTGGCAATAAGCACCTTTTCTTTGTGATGTCAGTAAAGCACCTTTGGATTGAAGTGAGACACAAAGAGAGGAGGAGGAGGAGGAGGAGGAGGAGGAAGGGCGCAGTGGTTGTTACGTCTTGTTCTAGTCCACCACTCCTGGGGTCTCAGCCTCGGTGAGCGGTCATATACACACACACAAACACACACACACATAAACAACCACTTGACTTGCAGCAGAAATCAATTTAGCAAAAACAATAAAGAAATTATTTATAAGGGCAGACTCTGCCAAATTAGCTGTGGGACGCACTTAACTGCTGAAGCCGTATGAATAAAGAGCTGTGGAGCGAGCACCAGGACCGTGTCAGTCATGGAGAAATGTGATGCTGCTGAGGTTACTGACATGCAAACACACACACACACACACACACACACACACACACACACACAGACACACACGCAGCACCTGCAGACTTAATGGACACACAGTCAGAGATCTCCCAAGATGCAGAGACGGCTCACGCTACTGTACATCCAGTCCAGGCCAAACACACATAACCGCACAGTTACGTCTCAGCGCCGCATTCATTTTTCATGTGATCATCTGTGGTCGGTCGATTCAGTTTTTTTTGGGAGACCCTCTTATTGTCCACGATACAAGGGGGGGGGGGGCTCGCGTTACCAACTATCAGTGTGACATGCTGTGTATGTGCAATGTGTGGCAGATGGGACACATGTGTGGTCTGTGGTGGCAGGCTGGCTGGAGCTGGAGGTTTGGTGGTGGTGGTGGTGGTGGGGGTGGGGTGAGACAGAGGGGAGGTGGAGTCTGAAGACAGCAACACACCTCATTTCCTATTAATAAATCACCAGTGTTTCACCACAGGTCATCTCCCAGAGTCTCTCGAGGTGGGCTGGGGGTTACAGCATGGGCGATATGAGGGTATACTGTATTTTTAGTCGTTGCTGAGAGTGTAAGAGGAGCAGAGGAATGTGTTAACGGTGCCTTCCCATCAGCCTTTAATACAGAGCTCTGAATGGAAAGAGAGAAAAGGATCTGCTTGGTGGTGGGGTTGGAGGTGGGCGGAGACCCGTGAAACGGCACCATAGCATTGGTGTTGCGATGCTAAATGGGAAGCATTCGCCTGTTTCTGATTTATGGCATATGGTATGTGCTATATGTGGGATATAATAGCCGGGCATTGGGGAGGGGGAGGGGGAGGGGGGGGGGGGGGGCCTGGTGGTTAGACAGACTGTATCTCAAACAGAGGACCTGGGCTCAAACTGAAGTGTGTTTGAGCAACCAGGGTATTCAGTTTGTCCTTCGACTTCTTTACAGTGCAGCCACCTGTAGTTGGTGCTCTGGACTCCAGCACGTTGGATTTAAAGAAATAGTTTTACATTTTTGGGGGGAAATATTCCTTTTTGCTTTCTTGCAAATAAAGAGAAGATTAATACAACTCTCAAATCTTCTGCTGGAGCCTGAAGACAGTGAGCTTAAGATCATGTTTTATCCAAAATGACATGATGCATCCGAACAAAAATAGTATATCGTACTGTATGTGCTGGGAGCCTCAACAATGACACAGCAGATAAGAGGTTTGACAAAACGATCTCTGCTCGAGGTCAATGTGTATCATCATACACATTCATCAGTAGATAGAGTTTGCCAGTTGTTATGAAATGTCATAGTATAGTATGTCATAAAAATGTAATAAAATGTCATAGTACAGTATGTCATAAAACTTTTATTAAAAATGTCATAAAGAGTCATGGTATAGTTCGCCATAAACAGTCGTAGTAAAGGTGGCTACAAGGCCTAAATAAGTGTTAGTAAGGACCAGTGTCTGCTGAAGTCAGAGTTGTTGAGTCAGCTTTTATTTTAATTTGACCAACATAGTTTGATCCCTCAAATTGGGGCACGGTGGATAAAACCTCCAACCACCCAACCAAACATGTAGATTGTGAGAAAAGATGTTTTTTTTGTGTCGTCTTACGGTCATATTTCTGTGTCGTCTGCCACTTAAAATCAATAACAGATAAGGTATTATCTATACAGCCTGAGATTAATA